AGTGTCCCTTTCAGCAGCTGATATGAATGCTTATGTAGAAAACTGCAGGGAATCTATATCTACAGCTAATAAATGAATTTATCAAAGTCATAGATACCAAGTTAATAAAGAAAAATCAGCGTAAATATAGTCAGTGACAGAAAACTGGAACATTTAAATAAAAAAATCCATCGATAGCAGCAACACAAAACATAAAATCTCTATAAGTAAACCTAACAAAACATGTACAAAACTCCCCACAATAACTACTATAAAATATTGCTGAATTAAGATCTGCATAAGTGGAAGTTATACCACATTTATATATTGAAAATCTATTAATATAGATATTCTCATAAAATTCATAAGATTTAAAGGAAACAAAATAGAAATTCTGGCAGGCTTAAAAAATTTAGATAACCAGCTGATTCTAAAATTTAGATGGAGAGTCTGAAGTTTACATGAAAATTCAAAGAACCTAGAATACCCAAAACAATTTTAATAGGGAAGAACAAAGCCTCTGGATTTTCAAGACATACTATAATGCTAGAGCAATCAGGACATTTTGACATTGGTGAAAATAGAGACTTACCGATCACAGCAACTGTGCAGTAAGTCTAGAAGTAAAGCTACACATACATGAGCACTTGATTTTTGGCAAAGTACAAAGTCTATAAAATGGAGAAGGATATCAATAGGGAACAAAATAAAGGCCAGGTTTCATTTCTCACTGTACCAAAAGTTAACGTGAAATGGTTCACAGACAAAAGGAAAAGTCCTGAAGCTATAATACTGGTAGAAGAAAATGCAGGCGGTAATCTCCATAACCTTGGATTAGGCAGCATATTTCTTAAACAGAACACAATTATAAAAAGGTAGATTAAATAGAATTCATGAAAACTTAAAACGTTTATTCTTTGAAAGAAATCATTAACTAAACGAAAAGGCAAGCTAAAACTGAGAAAGATTTATAAATATAAATAAAGAAAACTGAATGTAGAATTTATAATGAACTCTTGCAACTCAGTTGCAAGAGGACAAATAACCAAACTTTAAAAATAATCAAGATATTTCAACAAGTTATTTCACAAAAGAAGATGTGAGTACATGAAAAGATGCCAAACATCATTAAATTAAACCCATAAAATATCACTATACACTCTATAGCATGATTGAAATTTAAAAATATTAACAAAAACTCCTGATCATACTGTGTTGATGAGGCTAAGGAAAAATTGGATTTATGATACTCTATTTGATGGGCATGTGAAGTGATAAAACCACCTTGGGAAACAGTATGGCAGGCTCTTCAAAATTAAACTTACAATTTCCATTCAATGTAGTCAGTCCACTACTAGGTATTTACCCAAGAAAACTAAAAACACATATCTACTAAAATATATGTGTGTGTGAGTGTGTCCACATTGGAAAGTACGTAACTATTTGTAAACAGATTAATAACAAACATTCACCACATCATGATATATTACTCAGAAGGAGAAAGGAATATGCTGTTAATTATATACTGTTTAATAAACTAAACCAAACAAGAATAAAGGTAATATTCCTTGAGTCAACTGATATAAAAATATTCTACAGTGCCATTGTAGTGACAGAAAGCACTATCAGATATTGCCTCAGTCTGTGGTAGGAGAAGGGATGGATTTCAAATGTGAAGAAAAGAAACACTTGGAAGTGATGTTTGGAGCTTGCTATTTTCATTGTGGCCATGGTCTCACAGGTTTAAATATAGGTAAGACAGATCAAATTGATACATTGAAAACTTTGTACCTTAATGAAGCTTAAATAAATGCCTGTGTAAATATAGACTGAAAACGATGCTCTTCTGGTGTTTTTATTATTATATTTGGTTTTTGTTTTTGCCTTTTTTCTTTGTAAATTCATGTTTTCCTTGTTGGTATCTTTAAGGACTCCCTCAACAATATGTCCCCTGTCTGTAATTTGAAATCAACAGCATATGCTGCTGAAAGGCTGGTTCTCCTCAGAGATCACCTTCCTGTTTTTCCCCTTATCGACGAGGTTTCTATCTCAAGTCTTACCTCAAAATCTATAAAAACAAACACATTTGCCACACATTTACAAGCAAATATATAAATGACTGATAGGAATGTTAGTCCCTTTTGTTGTTCTTGAAACCTACTTTTCTTGTTTTCTTTAAGAGATTCATTTTATTTCTGTGCTGGCCTCTTTAGGAACACTCCCACTGATATCGCTCCATCAACACTTAAAAAGTTGGAACGTTCTGCTCACTGAGGCCAGAAGTTGAACCTCATGTATATAAGTTAATGGAAGTGTTCGCTGTGGTAACTTAATACTCTGACTCAGTCTCCTGAATTCTACTTTTTCCAGAAAGTTCTGTTTTCACTCCTCTCCCCTTGCAGAAACACACAGAAAAGGACACTTCTTTCAATTTGCCACCAATCTTCATTGATCATGGTCCTTGAACTTTACTGTTTCTTCTAAAAAAAGTTGTAGTCATTTCCCAACACACAGAACTTTCAGGGAGGGATGTTGACTTTCCTTCCACCAATCACATTATGATTCTGTTCTCTGGCTTAACCATTTCCAGAAAGTTCTGACCTCATCATTCTACTCCTTCAGAAACACCAAGGGTAGGAAATTTCAGGTCTTTAAAAAATTTATTATGACCCTCCCTGGTGGCACAGCCGGTTGAGTGCTGCACGGCAAAGGCGAAGCTAAGCCAAGCTTGGCTGTTTCAGTGGGAGTTTGATCCCTACCCAGGAGGTGATCCACACGGCAAGGCAGACCTCTACTGGCAAGGCAGACCTCTCCTGACCTACCCACTGCTCCCCTCAACAGCATCCTTTGTTGAGCTGCATGTTTTGCTCCTCACTCTGTTTCTGGTGAATCCTCTCACATCCCTGCACTTCTGGCCTGTACCCCATTTCTGTATGCATAAATAAATATTTAAATAAAAAACCTTTATAAAAATAAAATAAAGAAAACATATTCTAAGTTCCAACCTTGACAGAAAGCCTGTCCTCATCCACGTACGTCCTCACCCCATACTATCCCCCCAAAAAAAAACCCTGGTGAGGAAACAGCTTTCGGTTCCTGTTAACAATCAAGTTTTGATCTCATCTCAAACCCTGATTTTTTAAATTGAGGCTAAAACTTAGGAGGTCTAAGACAGGTATTGAGGTACAGTATTGGTTTTGAGGGACCAAAGGCCATTCATGAACATCAATCAGCTAACCTTTGTTAAATGTCTGAACTCACCACTTTGTGTGCTCAGATGAGATTTTCCATTGTCCCCGTCCCCTGCACTGAATAAAAGTCATCATTCCAGCCTCAAAACATAGTAAGGGGAATAGAGTTGTCCTTAAACTTGTTTCTCAAGTTAACCTTCAGGGACTCTTGATGATTCAAGTATGAATATCAGTGATTTTAAGTTGTACATGCTTGTTCATACACATCACAGCCCATCTGTACACACTGTAAAATTTTCCAAATAATGCCGGGTGGAAGTGCTGTGGTGTGGAGACAACCCTGAACTGGGAGTTTTGATTTTAGCTCTACCAACTGGCTGTGATCTTGGAAAAAACACTTTTTGTGAAACGAAGATTGAAATGAAGAACTGGGCCCTCCCTGGAGGCGCAATTGGTTAAAACGCAGCACTATGAAGCTAATGCAGCCACTGCAGCACCGAGTTTAATCCCCGGCTAGGGAGGTGACCTACAAGGTGAAGATAGACCTCTCCTGTCCCTCCCACTGTTCCCCTCAGTAGTGTACTTAGTCAGCCTCTTCTGCTCCCCACTCTGTCTCTGGTGAATCCTCTCATGCCCCTGCACCTCTGGCCTGTACCCTAGTTCTTGTATATATAAACATTTTTTTTTAAATCTTAAGGAAATGAAGAATTGAATAATTTTTTAACCATTGCCTATAGTTAGAAACACATTTTGAGGTGTTAATACTTCCTAATTTTAAGACTAAAACAAGTTTCTCAAAACAATTTTTAACACTACTCATGAGTGATGGATTTTTTTCCTTTATTTAAAAAAAATTGCTTATTGTGACCCACACAACTTTCAAGATCAATAACGGGTGACAACTGTCTCTTTGAAGAATACCAAATTGGAGGATCTTTAAGGCTTCTTTATTAAATAAATGGTTCCTTTGAAATATATAAAAACAGCCTGCCTTGTCTATGACCATCCCCAGCTTGACCGTAAGTTAGCAGTCATATGTCTTTTATCTCTAGATGCCCGAATCCCATAGAACATAACCTAAGCCAGTACACACTAGGAGGTTGCCTTGGTACTTAACATCTCTAGACTTCAGCACTCTCTAATCTGTCACTGTCCCTATCACTCTTATCAGCTCCTTCCTTTTTGATGTTTTTGCCGACTGATTTCAGATTATACCCAATCCCACCCCCAATAAAGGTCTCAAATTTAAGAATACATTAGGATTACGTGAGGAACTTGTTTAAAGTGGGCAGTTCTGGAGCCCCATTCCAGGTCTGAAGGATAGGCGCAACATTCTCAAAAAGCTTTCCACTGTGTTTTTATACAGATGGAAGACTCACATTCTTTGAAAGACAGAAAATGTATTCTAAAAACATCAGCTGTTATGTGGAGGATCCTTCCTGATGGTTGGGGACAAGAAAGAAATAGGGACCCTCCTTTGTTGCGCAGCAGGTTAAAACACAGCACTAAGAAGCTAAAGCCACTTCCGCATGAGATTGATCCATACCCCGGAGGTGACCCACATGGCTTGGCAGACCTCTCCTGATCCGCCCACTGCTCTCCTCAGCAATGTACTTCATAGATCTACCTGTTCTGCTCCCCACTCTCTCTCGGTGAATCCTCTCACCGCCCCTGCACCTCTGGCCTGTACCCCAGTTCTGTATGCATAAATAAATCTTTTTTTTAAAAAAGAAAAAAATAGTCCAAGACTACTGAGATTTTTAAGTTCGGACAGCTAGGAGAGGAATGGCAATATTAAGAAAAAATAAAGACTAGGACAAAAAAGGAAGACTGCTTTTAAACTGCTTTATTAAGTTCAATTATGAAGAGAATATTTTTCCTAAAACAGGGCTGCCAAAAAGATTAACATTAAGCCAAAACCAATAATCAAATAGAAACTGGTAAGTAGAAACACTAACAGTTTACAGAAAATGTAAATCACAAAACTAACAAGCTTGTAGAGCAGAGACCAAATTATTATCCCAGGAATTATTATCCCTTGGGATTCATGGTATAAGGCAAAAGTCGTAATGATTATCAGGTTCAGGAGTTTGGAAGCGCATGTAATGCCTCATCTGCTGCTCCTTAGCCTTTCTCTTGACTTCCACCATCTGCCCTACGAACTTTTCTACATCATCTCCCACTTCACTGTGATCAGCATGCTTGTTAGGTATGCCCCATCGAAAATTGGGGATAAATCGCCTAATCAGCCCCCATTTTCCTCCAGGCTTCTGGCCTTCACCCCGTCCCACTTGTTGTTCTTCCTCTCCATCCTGTACAAGGGGCTGCGACCCTTCTTCTTTTTCCTGTCGCGCGCTTTCCATGTTTCGAATTTTTAGCATTTGTTCTTCTTTGGACGCCATTGCTCCTAGTAGACAAAAGACCAGAGAAGGGACTATTTTCTTGGTGGACTAATCAGCACCGAGGACAGAGGCCCTCCCAAGAAACTTTCAAGATTCAGCGCCCTGGACTTTAAAGGCTTTTTAAAATTTCATCTTTCCTACCAGAGAGGCTTCCTAGCCTCTTTCTAGGCTCCCTCAGTCCCGGCTCTCCCCCCTCCTTCTCGCTGCCCTCCCCCCCCCTCCCCAGACCCACCATTTTCCAAGCCAATCCATTTCCCAGGCCTCCGCAGGCACCAAAATGGAGGACGCATTTGAGTGGGGGGCGGTGCTGGGGTCTCGGGGCTTCGCACACGCTTCCCACCCCGCCCCCCACCACAGTCCCCGGCACCCACC